TGAATAATAGGGGTGAGAGTGGACATCCTTGTCTTTTTCCTGATCTTAGAGGAAATGCTTTCAGTTTTTCACCATTGAGAATGATGTTTGCTGTGGGTTTGTTGTATATGGCCTTTATTATGTTGAGGTAGCTTCCCTCTATGCCCACTTTCTGGAGAGTTTTTATCATAAATTAGTGTTGAATTTTGTCAAAAGCTTTTTCTACATCTATTGAGATGATCATGTGGTTTTTATTCTTCAATTTGTTAATATGGTGTATCACATTGATTGATTTACATATATTGAAGAATCCTTGCATCCCTGGGATAAATTCCACTTGATCATGGTGAATGATCCTTTTAAAGTGTTGTTGGATTCTTTTTGCTAGTATTTTGTTCAGGACTTTTGCATCTATACTCATCAGTGATATTGGTGTGTAATTTTCTTTTTTTGTAGTATCTTTGCCTGGTTTGGTATCAGGGTGTTGGTGGCCTCGTAGAATGAGTTTGGGAGTGTTCCTTCCTCTGCAATTTTTTGGAAGAGTTTGAGAAGGATGGGTGTTAGCTCTTCTCTAAATGTTTGATACAATTTACCTGTGAAGCCATCTGGTCCCGGACTTTTGTTTGTTGGAAGATTTTTTTTTTTTTTTTTTTTGGCAGTACGCGGGCCTCTCACTGCTGTGGCCTCTCCCATTGCGCAGCACAGGCTCCGGACGCGCAGGCTCAGCGGCCATGGCTCACGGGCCCAGCTGCTCCGCGGCATGTGGGATCCTCCCAGACCCGGGCACGAACCCGTATCCCCTGCATCGGCAGGCAGACTCTCAGCCACTGTGCCACCAGGGAAGCCCGTTGGAAGATTTTTAATGACAGTTTCAATTTTATTACTTGTGATTGGTCTGCTCATATTTTCTATTTCTTCCTGGTTCAGTCTTGGAAGGTTATACCTTTTTAAGAACTTGTCCATTTCTTCCAGGTTGTCCATTTTATTGGCACAGAGTTGCTTGTAGTAGTCTCTTAGGATGCTTTGTATTTCTGCAATGTCTGTTGTAACTTCTCCTTTTCCATTTCTAATTTTATTGATTTGAGTCCTCTCCCTCTTTTTCTTGATGAGTCTGGCTAATGGTTTATCAATTTTGTTTATCTTCTCAAAGAACCAGCTTTTAGTTTTATTGATCTTTTCTACTGTTTTGTTTGTTTCTATTTCATTTATTTCTGCTCTGAGCTTTATGATTTCTTTCCTTCTGCTAACTTTGGATTTTGTTTTCTCTTCTTTCTCTAGTTCTTTTAGGTGTAAGGTTACATCGTTTATTTGAGATTTTTCTTGATTTTTGAGGTAGGCTTGTATAGCTATAAACTTCCCTCTTAGAACTGCTTTTGCTGCATCCCATAGGTTTTGGATCATCGTGTTTTCATTGTCGTTTGTCTCTAGGTATTTTTGATATCCCCTTTGATTTCTTCAGTGATCTCTTGGTTATTTAGTAATGTATTATTTAGCCTCCATGTGTTTGTGTTTTTTATGGTTTTTTTCCCTGTAATTCATTTCTAGTCTTATAGTGTTGTGGTCAGAAAAGATGCTCAATATGATTTCAATTTTCTTAAATTTACAGTGGCTTGATTTGTGACCCAAGATGTGATCTATTCTGGAGAATGTTCCGTGCGCACTTGAGAAGAAAGTGTAATCTGCTGTTTTTGGATGGAATGTCCTATAAATATCAATTAAATCTATCTGGTCTATTGTGTCATTTAAAGCTTCTGTTTCCTTATTTATTTTTATTTTGGATTACCTGTCCATTGGTGTAAGTGAGGTGGTAAAGTCCCCCACTATTATTGTGTTACTGTCGATTTCCTCTTTTATAGCTGTTAGCACTTGCCTTATGTATTGAGGTGCTCGTATGTTGCGTGCATATATATTTATAATTGTTATATCTTCTTCTTGGATTGATTCCTTGATCATTATGTAGTGTCCTTCCTTGTCTCTTTTTATTTTAAAGTCTATTTTATCTGATATGAGTATTGCTACTCCAGCTTTCCTTTGATTTCCATTTCCATGGAGTATCTTTTTTCATCCCCTCACTTTCAGTCTGTATGTGTCCCTAGATCTGAAGTGGGTCTCTTGTAGACAGCATATAGATGGGTCTTGTTTTTGTATCCATTCAGCAAGACTGTGTCTTTTGGTTGGAGCATTTAATCCATTCACGTTTAAGGTAATTATCGATATGTGTGTTCCTAAGACCATTTTCTTAGTTGTTTTGGGTTTGTTTTTGTAGGTCCTTTTCTTCTCTTGTGTTTCCCACTTAGAGAAGTTCCTTTAGCATTTGTTGTAGAGCTGGCTTGGTGGTGCTGAATTCTGTTAGCTTTTGCTTGTATGTAAAGCTTTTGATTTCTCCATCAAATCTGAATGAGATTCTTGCCAGGTAGAGTAATCTTGGCTGCAATTTCTTCCCTTTCATCACTTTAAACATGTCATGCCACTCCCTTTTGGCTTGTAGAGTTTCTGCTGAGAAATCAGCTGTTAACCTTATGGGAGTTCCCTTGTATGTTTTGTTGTTCTTCCCTTGCTGCTTTCAATAATTTTTCTTTGTCTTTAATTTTTGCCAATTTGAGTACTATGTGTCTCAGTGCGTTTCTCCTTGGGTTTATCCTGTATGGGTCTCTCTGCGCTTCCTGGACTTCGGTGGCTATTTCCTTTCCCACGTTAGGGAAGTTTTTGACTATAATCTCTTCAAATATTTTCTTGGATCCTTTCTCTCTCTCCTCCTCTGGGACCTCCATAATGTGCATGTTGTTGCATTTAATGTTGTCCCAGAGGTCTCTTAGGCTGTCTTCATTTCTTTTCATTCTTTTTTCTTTATTCTGTTCCGCAGCAGTGAATTCCACCATTCTGTCTTCCAGGTCACTTATCCGTTCTTCTGCCTCAGTTATTCTGCTACTGATTCCTTCTAGTGTAGTTTTCATTTCAGTTATTGTATTGTTCATCTCTGTTTGTTTATTCTTTAATTCTTCTAGGTTTTTGTTAAACATTTCTTGCATCTTTTCGATCTTTGCCTCCATTTTTTTTCTGAGGTCCTGGATCATCTTCACTATCATTATTCTGAATTCTTTTTCTGGAAGGTTGCCTATCTCCACTTCATTTAGTTGTTTCTCTAGGGTTTTATCTTGTTCCTTCAACTGGTACATAGCCCTCTGCCTTTTCATCTTGTCTATCTTTCTGTGAAAGTGGTTTTCATTCCACAGGCTGCAGGATTGTAGCTCTTCTTGCTTCTGCTGTCTGCCGTCTGGTGGATGAGGCTATCTAAGAGGCTTGTGCGAGTTTCCTGATGGGAGGGACTGGTGGTGGGTAGAGCTGACTGTTTAAGCTAGTGGATTTTAACTGGACCACCATACTGCACATTAATAATGGCAAGCAGGTGAGGAAAAGTATTCAAATTCTAATATAGGTATCATTTTTTAAATTAATTCATGTGGACTCAGAAATTTAGGCTTAAGGGACTTTTGCTATCTTGCAAATCCAAAGTCTTAGCTTACATTAGTCTGAACTGAAGACTCTGTCTCTTTAGAGAGATTTTGGCTTCTACAAACTGGAAAATTTAATTGAAGAATATTTTGTATCATCTCTTTTCAATATCGTACCTTTATACATCTTTTTGATATGACCATATTTCTGTTTCAGATGTAATCAAGATGAGACTTGTAAGATGAATCATGTATCTGGAAGGAGGCATTTTGTAAATCAACAGACTACATCCACCAGAAGCTGTAAAACTTAACTAAAGGTTTCAGCTTGCAGTGAGACAGATTTCTCCTGAACAACAAAGGAAATACTATCTTACAGCTATGTATGTTGTGAATGTCCCATAAATTAGAAAAGACTAGAAAAATATGCAAATTTTCAAGTGGCTGTAGTGAGAGTATGTTCTATATACTGTGTCGCCTTTGTAGTATGATACAAATTAACAAAGAGTATACAAATTAGCCCTCATTTTAAAGAACTGACCAAAATATCAATTGTGAAACACCCTTTTTCATAAAAATACAGCATTTTAAGCAAAGATTAGTTGAAAATTAAAAATTTGTATTTACTTAGACAAGTAGTTTCCAGAGTGGATACATTTATTTTTTAAATGCAAATACATCACCCTTCAACACATATACAATAGTTATAATTTCCAAAAATTTATAATTTCCAAAAGTCTGCCTGAGAGAATTGCAATCTCCTTGATTCATATGCCTAACCCTTCAAAGCAGAACCTCAGAATTTCACACTTTAAACATACAGAAGAAGGCTCTGGAAAGAGGAACCTGTATTAGCTCAGAAAGGGAAATAGTTCCTTATATTTTCTGGGTTGACTGAGATAAAACAAGATGACTTCTCTCATTTTACATCAAACATTAAACCTAAAATAATATTCCTAACAAGGAATAGGCTAGTTGTGATTTTTACTTCCCTATCTACTGCTACACTGTACTGAAACAAATAATATTAACCTCAGTGTAAACTAATTTTACACATGCCAAACACTGCAACCTTGTTCATTAACTGAGATAAACAATACAAAATGTAAACTAGTGATTTGAATTAAAGGTCTTAAGTATCCAATTTTCCAAAAACAATTGATTAGAAAAAGAAAAATTATCAAATACTCTAAGCATTATTTTTCAGACGCCTAAGACTATAAAGTCTTTGTATAAATAAAAAATGTACTTCTATGAAACACATACAATACAAACTAATGAACTGCTTTAGAAATCCTTAAAATCTTAAACAGTTAATCCAGAAGTATACATAAATTTCACTGAGAGTGAAAAATATTGCAAACAAAAATAACTTATGATCCTATCATGTTAACTCAGTGTACAGTACTGGATTCACGAGTGCAGTAAAAATGAACACTGAGGTCACGTTAAGTAAGTGGTAATATTTCAAAGGACATTAAATACCTGCTTTTCATAAACTTTTTTGGGGGGTTCGGCTTTGTAATAAATATGTAATAAATATCTGTAGTACTTTGAACATGTTCAGTGCTATCTTTCTCCATTGGAAAGTCTTTCTCCAGAATCATAATGTCTTAGAGGCATGCCAGAGGGTGGGGAGTTGGGACTTTGCAGCAAGTCCACTAACAAAGCAATCTTATTATCTATGTGCTCCTGGAGTTTATATATTCGCTGATCAATGTATTCCATAAGTTTCTTTTCCATCAGTTCCATATTTTTAGAAAGAATCTTTTCCAAGTAGGAACAAATGGATTGCTCTTCCATTCTAAAAATAAATTAAAAAAAAATAATAGAACAATTTTCCCTAATATTATAACAAAAACAACCAAACTACAGTACAATAAGCAGCCAACACACATTGCTAAAATTTGTCTCCACAACTATACTCTGTCCCCTTACAACATATTTCCAGGTTCTAAAATACATATGCAACAGGCAACCACAATCCTGAATGCCCAAAGGATTCTTACTTCTTAAATTCTTTAAACATTTAAGCATAAATTGAAATGAGAATATAAAAATGAAGATGATAGAATTTCTACCCTCAAAGAACAGGTCTTTAGATAGAAAGGGTCTTTTTGGTTTTGAGCCGCAAATCAAAAGCGATCGTACTGACTTTTTTTAAGGTCTCCATGTTTGTCTTCCAAGTGCTTCCCCAAGCAACCCTACAATTTAAACAGTTTTCTCTTTTTTCATCCAAACAACCTTACTAAAGCAGTGGAAGGACAAGGACAGTGAATTTCAGAGTGTGGTCCACAAAACCCTGGGGTCTCCATGACTTTTTCCAGGGGTTCCATGAGGTCAAAAGTATTTTTATAATAATTAAAATATTGTTTGAACATGAATCGTACAGCGAATGTACAATGAATTATCCAGAGGTTATACCATGTATAATGTCATTACTCTGATAACTAATAGCATGTATGGTTGTATATTCTATTTCCTAGAATTCCTTAAGGTAGGTTTACGGTACAGATAAATGTTTTTTGCAGAGGTAACTCAATTTGTTCTCAGTATTTCTACTGTGGTCTTACTAGCTATGTATGTTTATACATGCTATAACGCAACATATGAGAATACAATCCAAAGCTAATAAAGTTTTACATAAATTTAAAACAATACTGAACTTCCCTGGTGGCGCAGTGTTTAAGAATCTGCCTGCCAATGTAGGGGACACAGGTTCGATCCCTGGTCTGGGAAGAGCCCACATGACACGGAGCAACTAAGCCTGTGAGCCACAACTACTGAAGCCTGCATGCTCTAGGGCCCGCGTGCCACAACTATCGAGCCCATGTGCTGCAACTACTGGAGCCCGTGCACCTAGAGCCCATGCTCTGCAACAAGAGGTCACCACAATAAGAAGCTCGCGCACCACAACGAAGAGGAGCCCCCACTCACCGCAACTAGAGAAAGGTGGCGCACAGCAACAGAGACCCAATGCAGCCAAATAAATAAATAAAACGATACAATTCTCACTAAACTTTTTAAAAAGAAAATATGGTATTTTTTCATAAAAATGTTTATGTTACTAGGTAATGAGCTTATTGTTATTTCTAAACTAATAAATATTTTTATATAGCCTACATAAATAAAAGTTCTTTGGAGTGCTCAATTATTTTTAAGAGGGTAAAGATCAAAAAGTTTGAGAACCACTACTCTAGAATATACAAGGAACTTTTTATTTTTCTCCTTATTTTCAAATAATTATAGATTCACAGGGGTTGTAAAGATACTATAATTCCCCAATGGTCCCAATCGTTACATCTTACCTAACTATGGTATAATATCAAAACCAGGAATTTGATGTTAGTATAGTGTGTGTGTATGCCATTTTATCACATGTACACACATTCATGTAAACATCACGTTCTTGACAGAATCAAGTTCTGTCTCGATTGTAAAAACCACAATCAAGAGACAGAACTATTCCTTAACTACAAAGATCTCCCTCCTGCTACCCTTTTATTGTCACATCCACTCTCCTAATCTCCTCTATCATTAACACCTGGTAATCACTAATACAGTTTTCATCTCTATTATTTTGAGAATGTTACACAAATAGAATCATATAGTATGTGACCTCTTGAGATTCTCTTTTGTCAATCAGCATAATGCCTTTGATAGACAACCTAGTTGTTGCATGTATCAACAGGTCACTCCTTTTTATTGCTGATAGCATCCCGTGATATGGATATACCAGGGTTAATTTAACCACTCATCTATTTTAAGACATACTGGTAGTTTTTGGCTTTTACAAATAAAGCTTCTATGAACAATTGTGTACTGGTTTTTTTTTTTTTTTTTTTGCAGTATGTGGGCCTCTCACTGTTGTGGCCTCTCCCATTGTGGAGCACAGGCTCCGGACGCGCAGGCCCAGTGGCCATGGCTCACGGGCCCAGCCGCTCCGCAACATGTGGGATCTTCCCGGACCGGGCCACGAACCCGTGTCCCCTGCATCGGCAGGCGGACTCTCAACCACTGCGCCACCAGGGAAGCCCTGTGTACTGGTTTTTATGTGGAAAGAAGTTTTCATTTCTCTGGGATAAATGCTCAGGAGTATGACTGCTGAGTCACATGGTAACTATGTGTTTAGCTATTAGAAACTGCCAAACTTATTTAGAGTGGCTGTACCACTTTAAATCGCCACGAGCAATGTATGAGAGATCCAGTTTCTCCACATCCTCATTGGTATTTGGTTTTGTTATCATTTTTTTTTTTTTTTTTTTTTTTTTTGCGGTATGCGGGCCTCTCACTGCTGTGGCCTCTCCCGTTGCGGAGCACAGGCTCCGGACGCGCAGGCTCAGCGGCCATGGCTCACGGGCCCAGCCGCTCTGCGGCATGTGGGATCTTCCCGGACCGGGGCACGAACCCGTGTCCCCTGCATCGGCAGGTGGACTCTCAACCACTGCGCCACCAGGGAAGCCCTGTTATCATTTTTAAACTTTTTATTTTAGCCATTCTGTGTAGTGGTTTCTTGTGGTTTTAATGTGTGTTTCCTTAATAGCCATGAGGTCAACAGCACTTACATTCATGTGCTTATTTGCTTTTTGTACATCCTCTCTGGTATAATATCTCTTTATGTCTTCTGCCCATGTTCTAATTGGATTTTTTTTAATGTTGAGTTTTGACAGTTCTTTCTATATTTTAGATGTAAGTCATTTGTTGGATACGTATTTGCAAATATTTTCCCTCACTCTGTAATTTGTATTTTATTCCTCTTAACAGAGAAGAGCAAAAGTTTTACATTTTCATGGCATCTAATATATCAAACTTTTGATTACCGGGCTTTTGGTGTCATATCTAAGAAGTCTTGTCTTGTCTTAGGTCTCCAAAGATTGTTTCCTATGTATTATTAGAAAACTTTTATAGCTTTATGTTTTACATTTAAGTCTATGATCCATTTTGAGTTAATTTTTATATAAGGTATGAGGTTTGGGTCATGGTTCACTTTTTGCCCTTCGGATATCCAATTGCTCCAGCACCATGTGTTAAAAAGACTATTTTTCCTTTATTGAATTGCTGTTGCAGCTCTGTCAACCATCAGTTGAGCATATTTTTGTGCGTCTATTTCTGAGCCCTCCATTATGTTCCATTGACCTATGTGTCTGTCCCTCTGCCATCATGACATCATCTTGAATACTCTAACTACATAAGATTTGACACTGGGAAGAGTGATTCCTCCCACTTCATTCTTCTTTTTCAACGTTGTTTTAGCTATTCTACCCCTTTTGTTTTTCATATAATTTTTAAAATGATCCTGCTTATGTCTGCCAAATATTGTGGTGGGATTTCAATATGCATAAAATTAAGCCTGCATATCAATAGGGAGACTTGACAACTTTACTATGCTAGAAATTGAATTGGTAATTTAACAGTTTCCAGGAAAGAAATAACCAGGCCCAGCTGCTTTCCTTAGAGACTTCTACCAAACATCTTAAGAAGAGATAACACCAATTTTACACAATCTCTTCTAAGATGTAGAACTCATCTTATGAGGCCAGTATTACCCTCATGAAAACCGGACAAAGACAGTACAAGACAAATACAGACCAGTATCTTTAATGAATTAGATGCAAGAATACTCAAGAAAATATTAGCAAATCAGATCCAGCATTGTGTAAGGAAGAATTACAGCCCACAACCAAGTGGGATTTATTCTAGGTATACAAGGCAGGTTCAGTTTTTGAAATTAATGTAATTCACCATATGAACAGACTACAGAAGAAAATTCATGATCATATGAATGGCCATGGGAAAAATATTTGACAAAACCCTATACCCATCTATGATGAAAGAAACTCCCAGGTAACTAGGAACCAAGGAACACTAAGCCTCACAGGCCCTGAGCAATCTGACTTCTTTCCACCTTTTATAGTCTTTGTATGTTTGCTGTATTATGTCCAGGGATTTTTACTGGTAAAAAGGGGGATCTGAGAGAAACTGGGACATTCCATCTCAGCTGGACCCAGGAGCAGTTTTTAAATCTGTTTAGGTTTTTTTTTCCTTTGGGTTTTATTGTTTGTTTGCTTTGTTTTGCTATATCACAAGTTAACATTGATTAGACTATCAACAACTAAAGACTGGAACGTCCCTGGTGGTCCAGTGGTTAAGACTCCGCGCTTCCAGTGCAGGGGCACGGGTTCAATCCCTGGTCGGGAGACTAAGAACTAAGATCCCGCATGCCACGCAGCACGACCAAAACAAAAAAACAAAAAAACAAAATTAAAGACTATTGTTATCTTTCCTTATCCTTCCCAAATAAGAACCACTTGTTCAATAACGTCAACTCCTCAAATTGAATGCTATTGGAGACATTAAGAAAGTTTCAACCAATACAACTCCCTCATTTTACATGGGAAAAAAGGCTAAGCCAAAAGATTTAAACACTAAGGCAATAGTTAAGCTAGAACTATGATTAGAGTCCTGAATTCCAATCTAGCGCAAAATTTGGACACATTACATCTATATAAAGGATGGGGAACATACTAAACACTTAGCCACCCCTCAATCAAAGCAGGACTGGAAAAAATTGGAATTATGAGACCGGGGATAAGGGCCTGAACACTAGAAATAATTCAGAGCTGAAAAATGTTTGGATGACTCCGAAATTAGCCTAGGTCACACACGATCTACAGAGGAAATCTGTTACAATGGCTCCCTTCATACAATCAGGCAAAAAATGTACATATCATGGTCACTACAGCTCCTCTCCATTCATGCAAACAACTCTCTACTCTGACCCTAGCTGCTGCTTGTACCCCTTCCATCAGATGCCTGAGAAGTGCTCGGCACCTCCAGTTTTACCCACTTCTTTCAAAGCAATCCATCCTACTCTGCTGAGTATTTCTTTCCTATAGTGTGTTAATGGAGAAATGTAAAAGCCCCTAAAATCCTCTCTGGAAACATTTTCAGGCAGTAGTTATTGAAACAAACCTGTTTTCCTCCACCTGCCTCCCCCTCCCGCCCTCAATCTAAACCACACTTGTCTTAAATACTCACGTGACACCAACAGTGCCTTCGCCGGGCTTGCTGATGCTTTCCTGCCACTTGGTGTTGGGTCCCACACGGAGACGGTTCACTTGACTACACAGATTCTGCAGAACAGGCAGCAACTCAGAGTTGGGTACATGGGAGTTGTCACTTGCTTTCTTTGGTAACAAAGAAGATACTGCATTCTTAAGATCATTCTCAGGAAGAGAATGGTTTTGTGGCACAATTTTACACTCTTGGAGGCTTGTCACATTTCCTCCACCAGCTGGCTGCGTACTTTTATCAATGTAAGCTTTTAAGTCTTCAGCCACGTTTCCAGATGTCAATCCAGTCCTGGAAGGGAAAGGCGTGGGGGATGACTTGTCGAAGGCCCCTGAAGCAGATGATGATTGCAGTCCGATCATGTGCTTGAATCCAGTGCTTCCCAAAACTGACTGAAGCTGCTCTCCGATGGGAATACAATTCTAAGCAAGGTAAATAAGAAAATGTTATTATTAACATGAATGATAATGACAGGTAACCTCTGGAGTAACTCAGAGTCAGGCAACGTGCCTTCTTTCATTTGATCCCCAGAACTTTCACATGGAGTAGGCTATAGCTACTATCCCAATATTAAGTTAGGAAACCAAGACTAAAGTTAAGTTGGCCAAGGTAACACAACTAGTCGGTGGCAGAAGCAGGACTGGAACCCAAGCCACTGAACTCCAGAGTCAGGACTTCTAATCATTTCACTAGTTTTGCTAAGGAAAATATTCAAATATACACAAACATACTTAGTAAAATTGCACGGGCTTATTATAATGTTTCCTTAATTTACGGTAATAAAATCTAGTACTCTCAATTCAGTCACAGTAATTGATAACTGTCATAGAATTAAAAATCATCTGCCTTGGACAGGAATAAAGATGCAGATGTAGAGAATGGACTTGAGGACACAGGGAGGGGAAAGGGTAAGCTGGGACGAAGTGAGAGTGCCATGGACATATATATACTACCAAATGTAAAACAGATGGCACAGGGAGATCAGCTCGGTGCTTTGTGACCACCTAGAGGGGTGGGATAGGGAGGGTGGGAGGGAGATGAAACAGGGAGGAGATATGGGTATATATGTATACGTATAGCTGATTCACACGGTTATAAAGCAGAAACTAACACACCATTGTAAAGCAATTACATTCCAATAAAGATGTTAAGAGAAAAAAAAATACACAGGAAAAAAAAAATCATCTGCCCACCGTCACATATGGTAATTCAATCTAAGAATATGCAATTTACTTCCATTGGAAGATAGACCAGATAGTTACATATTTAAAGTATGATGTTATATGAGTACTTCCGTGACATTTTCAATGACCAAAACGAGCTACCTTTTGGCTAAGGCTGCCTTAATAATCTGTAGGGTAATGATTATGTTTTGTGGCCTCAACTCAACCGGCTCTGCTATAGGATTTCTCGAGAAGACTCAGCTCACCTTTGAGAGCAGGTCACACTGTCTCCTACGCAGGGCCATGCTCTTGCTATGCTCTTCAACTTTTCCACAAGAGAAAAGCAAAACTACCTCTAGCCTATCTAACTGTTAAGTTATACACCTCCATCCTAAATTCTAAACACAGAGCTCTACTAGGGATTCTTATAGGGGATATCATCTCATACTTACTGTTGCTCAGTATCTAGTGAGAGAGACTGAGAAAATTCCACAAGATTAGGTGAAGACCCTCAGTCCGTATATTTTCTGGATATTCTAAAAAATGATTCCTGGATTAAGCCAGCCCCAAACTCATTCATTCAACAAATATTTACCAGAAATCTGCTCTGTGTTAGGTACTGTCTCAGTCACTGGTAATAAGCCTGTGAACAAATACAAATTTGCACACATACCCTCAGATTTCTGAAAAAAATAAGTAGCTCTGTGAACATCTTGTAGGATTTCTGAAAGGTCTGTCTTTAACTTTTTTAATTATCACAAAAGCCAAAAAGTATTCCCTTGAAAAAGCTAGAAAAAAAGATGTTTTTATCTTTTCAGATGAAAAAGGTAAACAGTGAAAATCTTGAATAACTGAATATATTTTTGTTGAGAAAATGGGGCACAGCTTTCCCTCAGATAACATTAAATGACAACTATATGCCAGGCACTTTGATTCAGAATTCCTACTCAATTATTCTAAATTGCTAAAGCAAAAACAAATGAAAGTCAACACATGTGAACTTCAAATACAAGGAAATAAGAAATCACTTTAAGAAACTTTCCAGGAAACAAGGAACCACAAGGCAAAGGTGAAGCAGGGAGTCTAGAAAGCTGTTCCCCAGGTCCTTTCTTTCCTCATCAGGACAGGCCCTGCCCCAATTAACATATGAAGGTTCCAAACAGTGTGGGTTTACACCCCTTCCATAGAAGGAAAGGTTCTGATCATGAAACATCCCTACTTTATACTCAACAGACAGTTACAGAGCTCATATGACACTTTCCAGGAAGACGTTCCATGGATTCCTTGTTTGTGGACAAAAGCAATCCTAGAGAACCAGGTATATACTGTGAGAATCATTCATAAATATAGCCTCCCCACAAGAAAGAAGACTTTTATTAGCATGTTTAAAAGATGATTTAACAGGATCACCTTCTTTCTTCCCCAGGGGGTTTCCCAAATGTCCCCATAGATAATGATTTAGCACGTGTGTTGGGGGGGTTACAACACACGTGCTGTTGGTTGGAGGACTTGTGTTTCTATATGATAGAAAATGCGACAAGGACACACACCAAGCTTGGGAATAGGATGAGAGTTGGGAGAGCACTCTTACAAAATACCTTATGTACCTGTGAATGGACGGAAATTCATAGCAAAGAAAATGTATTATTTTGGAAATTAAACAAAAAACCCTAAAAAACATGGGCAAAAAACCCCACAAACTACTATTCATGTCATTTCTTTTCCAAAGTCAAGGTTTGAAAACATAAAAATCAGTCCATGATCTGATTTTACTTAATTCATTAACCCTCTCTAATGTTTCCAAAATTTTCCACACACAAAAAATTTCTTCTGTTTTTAAATGTTTAATCTCTATGTCCACTGGATCCTTCCCCTCAAACATCTGTTCTTAAAATATGTTATGCATAAGACTCATCTGGCATTGCCTGTATAAGATAGGTGAGTCCTGGATCACAACCTCAGTGTTCCAGGTCACTGGTGAGGGCCAGGATTCTGCACTTTATAAACATTCCAAGGGATTCTGATACCGGCAGGTTCCTCATCTCTATCATTCTTGAAACAACCCACTTTACCCCGGCTACCTCCACATTCGGACTACCCATTTAGTATCTAATCCCTCAAAATGTGGTTTCCATCTCATCACTATTCAAACTGACCCCTTGAAGATCTCCAAGGAGTATTTAGTTGATAATCCAAAGGGCATATATATTATATAAAATTTACTCGGAGCCATAAACTAGACAGACAGGTCCTCTTTGCACAAAGCTTATATCTTAATGAGATACACAGAACAACATATAAACAAAAACAGGCAAGAAAGCGCTGATGAAAATATATGATACAGATTTGGAGGAAAAGGCTAATATTTTAATCAGGTTGGTTAGGGAAGGTGTCATTCAAGATGGAACGTTTACGATGAGGTTGAAATAACAAGAAAAAGGCAGACTTGCTAAGACCAGGAAGGATTCTGGCCAAAGAGAACAGTTAAGAGGGCAAAGGTCCTGAGGTGGGAGCACGTCTGGATGTTTGTGGAATACCCACATCAGAATGTCTAGAGCAAGGCATCTAAGGAGATGCAGCAGAAGATGAGGCTGAGGAGGTAACGAGGACCCAGATCTCAGATGAGAGCGTAAGGAACATGGATTAGTTCTGAGTGTCAAGGGAAGCAGTCAGGGGGCTTGACACAGGGGACGTCGAGTCTGATGAGGTCATGCTGGCTGCACTGTGGAGAGGGAGCGTGGTGCAGGAGGACCAGCTAGGGGCCTCCTGAGGTATGGAGGTGCGATACTAGTGCCAGAGCAAGGAGAGTATGGACGCTGTTCATTTTACAGCTCTCCTCGCCATGCTTTCCAAGATCATCAGCAACTCTCCTGCTCTCCTATGTCTGCCTGTTGGTCCAACGATACTCGTCCCAAATTAATATTGGCAAATCTCACAAAAGTTATGCAAGTTTTTAAACTCATATTATTGGTTTTAAACTTTCATCCTATGATCTTACCAGTATTATCGTTTAGATTGTAAACACAAAGAAATTTATCCTCAAAACGAGGAAGTGATGCCAAATAACACAGAACTAAGAGCTTTGAATTCAGGTCTCCTGACATCAGATCTCTTGCGACTCTTAAGCACTGCTGTGTCCTGCTCTTCTGGTTCCTTTTTCCTCTCCCCGTATTCTTAGCAAACGCACCTACTCTCCCAGGGTCTTCCTTCCTGACTCCGGTCTCTCCCCTCACCCCCTTCCCCAGCATCTACTAGGCATGCTCCTCCCAAACCTCCCTCCACTCCACAGCCCCACCTGTGTTTCCAAAGCCTCACATCATCATCCCAGGGCATGTGTTATTCACATCTAAAACTCAACACTCTCAAATTAAACTCCTTTCCCCCAAGTCGCTTCCCCCCTTGGGTTCCATGTATATTATGGTATCACCATTTTCAAAACTTTAGTTTCACGTCTGATTCTGTTTTTCTCCCACAGAACCCGTATTAAGTTAGTTGTCACGTCCCAATGGCCCCACTGTTGCAGCATCTCGCAATCCAGCATCAGGTTACTCCTTCCGAGCTCAGGCTCTCATTAACTCTCCTGCGGATGATGGAAATAACAGAGCTGCTTTCCTTCTTGTAGCCTCACTTTCTGTTGACGCATCTTTGCTACTGACTCATCTTACACATAATAGCGGATTAAATTTATTAAAACAGAGCTAAAAAACACCCACAAACTCTATAACATCATTCAAAGTCCTCTGAGATCCAGCCCCAGAGTCTACCTGAAACTTCCCGTCACTTCTTCACTCCAGAGAAATGAGCTTCTCTTCATTTCCTGGCTACATCCTATTCCTCTAGCACTGAAGATTTAATGCATACTGTTCTCTGTCTCTCAAGTTGCATCCCTCCACGTTTCCTTGCCTAATCCCACCCTCTTCCTCCTTAAAAGCCTACATGAAACGCTACTTCCAGTAATAAGCCTCTCGTAGCATCCCTCATCATTCCCCACTTAGATGCCCTGACTCCCCTAACAAGACTACAAATAAAGATCCTTAAAGACAGGCTGATCTTTGAATCTTCGAAAGTTAACCAAAACAGTGTCTTATACTTCGAGAAGGAGCTTAATAAATGCTTGCTGAATGAATGAGCAAGAGAATTCACGGAGAACTGTGAAGTCTGTACCAAAAACATTTTTTTTGCAAGATGCTATTTTTACGTAAGTCAGTAAAGGTAACAGTCAAATCAATAATAAAAGTTGAGGGACTTCCCTAGTGGTGCAGTGGTTAAGAATCCGCCTGCCGATGCCAGGGACACAGGTTCGAGCCCTGGTCCAGGAAGATCCCACACGCCACAGAGCAACTAAGCCCGTGCGCCACAACCACTGAGCCTACACTCTACAGCCCACAAACCACAACTACTGAGCCCGCATGCCACAACTACTGAAGTCCCCATGCCTAGAGCCCGCACTCCACAACAAGAGAGGCCACCACAATGAGAGGCCGAGCAGCGCAATGAAGAGTGGCCTGTGCTCGCTGCAACTAGAGAAAGCCCACGCACAGCAATGAAGACCCAACACAGCCAAAAGTAATTAATTAATTAATTAATTAATTA